CTCACCTCAGCCTCCCAAAGGCGCGGGATTACAGGCTGAGCCACGGAGCCCGGCTGGTTCCAAGTTTCTTTAACTGAATACACTGACAAGAGAATACAGACACCCCCTTCCCCGGTGGAGAGCACAAAATGTTATGAAGGATAATTTTGTAGAGAAAAAAAGTAGCCAATTCCCTAGAGTTAGGTCCAGCCACCCATTCACAAGAAACTTTCAAATCTCTAAAGACAGAATAATGGGCCCCCCAGAATGAGCTGTCACAAAAGACAAAGCCTCGTGGCCCCTCTGCCCAAAAGATGGAAATGACACACACACGAGGATGCTTTGATTGTCTTTCTCACTCCTGCTGGACTTGCAGCCACACCTCTGGATCTGGGGCGTCTATCAGCAACCCCTGTTCACTCAAGCGGCTACTGCCTCAGGAGCCTCGAATGCTCCAACAGCCTCCAACAGCCATCAGGGAGGTTATGCTGCCCTCTCCTCTTGACCACCTAGTGATACCAGACAGAGGCAAAGAAATCACACTAGAGACAAGAAAGAGGCACTCACCATCGGATCTGCTTGTTCAAAGAGGTCACATCAGACCAAATTCAGAAAAATCCCAAACTCACATTGCCTATACTTGAAAGAACCAGGAGAGACCAAGAATGAACTTTAAAGTGCCTGAGATTGCTGGGTGCCAGTGGCTCATGCCTATAATCTTAGCATTTTGGGAGGCTGAGGCGAGAGCCCATGGGTTTGAGACCAGCCTGGGCAACTTGGCAAGATCTTGTCTCTAAAGAACAACAAATAATAATAATAAAATGAAGTGCCTGATATTTCCCTTGTACTTCTTAGAAAAGACAGCTGATTAATAAAAAGCCACATCTTAAAGCTACATTGGATATACTTCTGATGAGACTTCTATTTGAATGATCTACTGGGATGGTAACATTATCCAGCTTTAAACTGGAGATAGCAAGCTATTTTTCAGTTTGGATCTTATTAAGTAGTAACACCTCTATGTAAATTTGAAGAGAATATTTACCGCAGTTAAGGTTGGAAGAGCTATGTCTGTGTATAACTGAATTTTTTTTGGATTCAATTACAAATAAGTTTTCATTTACAAAGACGACTTTGGAGTAGAGCAAATGTGATGTGTCTGGATGAGCAGGGGCTACCTGCTGTAGCTTCCATCATGTTTCCATCTTTTCAAGTCAGTCAGCTCCCAACTGGTAATGCCTGCATTTGGCCCGTTCCTGGGCCCCTGTCCTTTACAGCTGCTCTTTCTCTGTTCAGCTCTCCAGCAAAACAAAACTTCTGTCTCCACTTTGCATCTCTCAGCTAGGTAAATATACGGTTGCTCCAAAACAGCTAGGTCCCCTAAACAGAATTCTAATCAAATGTTTCTTTAATAAACCAACTAGAACACTCCAAAAAGGTGGACATTAAAGTCACTAATCACTAGGAGTGATCTAGCTGGGGAAATGGCAAGAAACTTCTAGAAGAAGTCAGTCTAATTAAGTGGGTAAACAGAGATCCCACAGAAATGCCAGAGAAGGCAGACCTGAGAATTTTAAGCTGCTCTAATAAGATGAAAGAACCTCCTTTAATATACTTATAGACCTATCACAGCGAATACTTCCCAAATACCAAAACACCAAAGACTACAGTTTAATTAAAATCTCTAATTGTTTGCATTAAGAAAAATCAGATTAGGGCAGTTTATATGCAAGAAGATAATGAAGTGCTGGGACTAGATAGCAGTCTGTGATATCCAAATTTCACCTTTAGAAAACACAGACACAGCTTAGAAGTGTGCAGGGCACTCTTGAGGTACTCCAGGTCATTTCTATTCCAGATATGGAGGGATGCCTGAATGGGGAAAAAAAGAGCCTGGAAGGAAAGGAGGGAAAGCTGTCCTCTAGCCTTATGCAATTACATCCTCTGGACTCAACTCTCAATAGATTGGTGTGGGTCACCTCCGTGTGGCTTTGTTTGCTCTGTGGCAGATGAAGTAAAGCTTGGGATTCTAGTAGCTCTCTGGAACTCAATATGGCCAGCAAAGTTGAGTTACCCAGGATGACGTACCCTATGCCTTCCCCTCCCCTCCCTGTTTTCAAGAGAGAGAAATGCATGCTGAGTTCATGGGCCAACTGCGAGGGGGACAGGTAAGGCTAACCTGATAAAGTCAAATGTACAGGAAAAGAGGAAGGATAGGATGGCTGAACTAGGAGAGCTGGAAGAAAAGCAGCATTGTTTTAACAGCAGAACACTCAGCATCATTGATGTTAACATTTTCTGAGACCAGACTCTTTCAGCTGGGAAAAAACAACACAAAAGGTAACATTGTTTTTCCCTTTCAAACACTGTGGTTTACTCGTTTACTCAGCTAAGAAAGGAAAAAATGACCTTATAATAGATTAGCAAGAAATGAAGAAAATTATAGGTAGGCTGCCCTGGCCCAAAGGTCTGCTAGCTGGTTCTGTAGGAGGATGAGGATGGTGCCAGGTTAACTGCTTGTCTCTGCACAGACCGGATAACGTCCCTGTGATGCCTCTCATCAGTGAGGTAGATGGTCATCCTCTTGCTAGAGGTATCGAGTACCAACTCACAGCGCAATGGAACAGTAGAATGAGCTGCCTGGCTAAAAGGCACAAGCTATTCCTCAGGGCTGCAACAGACACAGAGCAACCCCACCAAAATTAACAGGTACTCAAGGAAACTTAGCCAGAGGGAGATGGACTCTTGCCTGAGGTCTGCACAACACCAGCTTGCCTTGCTTTGAGATACAGAATTTGAAACCAGTTGTCACTATAACCTACTTCCACAGTGGAGCCTGCTTCTGCCCTGCCCGTCAGACATACTCCCTGCCACCATGGGAATATGAGAGGGGTAGAGGGACAGGAAGAAGAGCGCAGAGTGAATACTAGGAGGGGAGACTGCAAAAGGAGGAGAAGATGGAAGGACAAGAAAGGTTGCAAAGCAAAACGTTTTTAAGTAGGTCAAGTTCAAAATTATATCAAGAAGATAAGGGGACGGAGTAGGAGGAGGAAAAGCTCTGAGGTGACCCTCCTGAGAGGGATGAGATGATGAGGAGGCGAGACTGCCCTGGCATTACTTCCCGTGCAAGTCAGTCAGCTCCACGTCATCCTTTCGCCGCTTGTGGGTGAAGAGAGAGGCCACGGGGTAGAGTTTGGCCTTGGCCTGGAACCGGTGTCCTGCAATGTCAATCTCATATTCTCCCCGGTTGATGAAATCTGCTGTCACCACCTGCTCTTCCCCAGTGTCCTCAGAAAAATTGTGCACAAAGCCCAGGCAAACATGGCGCTCCAGGGAGAAACTATAGGCACTGCTGGTGGTCTTCCCGACATACTGCCCATTCCGGTAAATGGGCTCTCCCCACCAAGGCCAAAGGTCTAGGTCTGTGTCATGGTCATCCAGGATGAACATCGTGAAGCGTTTATATACTCCGTTCTGCTTCTGCTGCAGCAGCGCATCCTGACCAATGAAATCCATGCCCTAAGAAAGAAAGAAACTGCTCAGTTGTCCAGCGACATTTTCACTCTCAGTGTGGAAAGCAGCACCATGGCAAGGGACCTCTGGTGTCACTGCAGTGGGTCACAGCACCCTCCTCCCACAACCCTGCTAACTTTTGGAAATGGTGTGCTTTCTACCATTTGAAAAACTACATTCAAAATATAAAAGAAATCTGTAAAAACAGAGGTACACATTTTTACTTTTTCTTTTTTTTTTTTGAGTTGGAGTCTCAGTCCATTGCCCAGACTGGAGTACAGTGGCACGCTCCCGGCCTCGACCTGCTGGGCTCTGGTGATCCTTCCGCCTCAGCCTTCCAAGTAGCCGGAACTACATGCGTGCATTACCATGCCCGGCTAATTTTTGATTTATTGTAGAGACGAGGTCTTGCCAGGTTGCTCAGGCGGGTCTCAAATCCGCGGACTCAGGCAATACACTAGCATCGGCCTCCCAAAGCGCTGGGATTATAGCATTTTTACTTTTATAAATACAGATTTCAATTACAAGACTACACAGAACAAAAATATTTACGGCCGGGCTCGGTGGCTCAGCCTGTAATCCCAGCACTTTGGGAGGCTGAGGTAAGTGGATTGCCTGAGACCGCGGGTTCGAGACTCGCCTGGGCAACTTGGCGAGACCTCATCTCTACAATAAATCAAAAATTAGCCGGGCGTGATAGCGCACGCCTGTAGTTCCAGCTACTTGGAAGGCTGAGGTGGAAGGATTGCTGGAGCCCAGCAGGTTGAGGCTGCGGTGACCAGGAGCGGCCACTGCACTCCAGTCTGGGTGAGAGAGTGAGATTCCAACTCAAAAAAAAAAAAAAAAAAATTCATGAAGAACATTCAATATTCAAAAATATCTGCTGGAATTATTTTAGAAAAATAATGTTTTTATATAATCCCAACAGAACGTCCATGCATATAGATCTATATTCAAAAAATAAAACTAGAAGAAAATAAACTTACCAGTGATTATCTCTGAACATAAAATATGGGTAACTTTAATTTTCTTCTTTATACTTTTTCCTATTTTCCACACAAGTTATTTACTACTTTTGTATCAGAAAAAAATCATTACATGTTATTGCTCATGAAGAATACTGTAGATCTATTGTACTGACAGGGTCTTTCATTGAGTAAAATAAGTGAGGTGCAATACAGCAAGCATGTGGTATCCAACCATCTAGGTCAAAAAAGTGGGGAGGGGACACGATACTCTAGCATGTTTGGACTACATGACATCCTCTAAAAGGAAAGACCAGACACTGGTTTCCTCTAGCAAAGAAGTGGAGTTCAGAAACAGCAAAGAGTCTCAGTTTTCTTTTTTTTCAGTTGGAGTCTCACTCTGTCACCCAGGCTGGAGTGCAGTGGCACGCTCACAGCCACTGCAGCCTCGACCCGCTGGGCTCAAGTGATCCTTCTTTTACCTCAGCCTTCCAAGTAGCTGGAACTACAGGCACACACCACCATGCCCAGTTACTTTTTTTGATTTATTGTGGAGATGAGGTCTCGCCAAGTTGACCAGGCTGCTCTCGAACCCGTTGACTCAAGCAATCCTCTCACCTCGGCCTCCCAAAGTGCTGGGATTACAGGTGTGAGCTACCGTGCCTGACCTAGACTCACTTTTCATGGAACACTCTCTTAACCTATGATTGCCTAAAGAAATCATGCTCATATATTACTTAAAAAAAAATTAGGCTGGGCTCAGTGGCTCAAGTCTATAATCTCAGCACTTTGGGAGGCCAAGGTGAGAGGATTGCCTGAGCTCACAGGTTCCAGACCAGCCTGGGCAACTTGGTGAGACCTTGTCTCTACAATAAACCAAAAAATAAGCTGGGCAGGGTAGCGCATGCCTGTAGTTCCACCAACTTGGAAGACTGAGGTGGAAGGATCATTTGAGCCCAGCAGGTCGAGGTTATGGTGGCTGTGAGCACGCCACTGCACTCCAGCCTGGGCAACAGAATGAGATTCCAACTCGAAAAAAACCCAAAAAACTAGGCAGCTGACTATAGGAGGACTAATTTGTATAAATGTTTATCCCATAAAGTTTTCATCTTATGAACACACCAATCCTCATTTACCTGATGCTATCACTGAGGCCTCAATCTTTTCAGTTTTCCTGTCATATCAGCCCTTCTTCTTATCCTAGTGCAGGTTTCACTACTCAGAAAGTTGAATGAGTGGAGTCTGGATAAACACAGTACCTTTTCCAATTTCACCCGAGATTCTCGTCCACATTCCAGTGGCGTGGTGAGGGTATTTAAATCCTGACCCCAGAAGGCAAAAAACTTCTCAATTCGGAGACTGCGAAGAGCATAATAACCAGCATTCCGGATTCCATATTTCTGTCCAACACTCATCACTTCATTGTAAACATGCAGGGCATACTATACAGAGAGATGAAAGGTTAGTAACCAGCAGACTTCAGATTTTTTTGTTTTTTTTTTTTGAGTTGGAGTCTCACTCTGTTGCCCAGAACTGGAGTGCAGTGGCCACTCTCGGCCACCACAGCCTCG